ACTGTGGGCCACCGCCTGGGCCACCGCAGGGCCCTCTTTGAGAAGCGGAAACGGCTCAGCGACTACGCCCTCATCTTCGGCATGTTTGGCATCGTCGTCATGGTGACGGAGACCGAGCTGTCCTGGGGGGTGTACACCAAGGTAGGCTCAGCCCCCGCCCAGGCACCTCAGGGCCCCCAGGGAGGCGGGCGGAATGCAGGGGACCCTGGGGCTCCCTGTGCCGCTCCAGCCCCTCCTTCTGCTGCTCCCCGGGTGAGCTGGGGACAGGGACCCCAGGGAAGGCTGGGCTGGGGCAGGCCACGCTCTCCCTCTCCGTCTAGAGTGGTCGGTGTGTCACCAGCCTGGCTTTGTGAGTCCTCTGTGTCACCAAGCGGGTGTGAGAACAGAGAAACCAGGGCTTGCTGCCCGGAGACTGGGGCTGGAGGGCACCAGGCCTTGCAGACGGAGGTGCCAGTCCATGGCCCAGCAGGCCTCGAGACACCCCGGGGCCATATGGGACCAGGCCTTATAAACCTCAGGACCCAAGTGAGACCAGGCCGGGGACAGTCAGCTCAGGAGATGGAGGCTCAGCGGGCATGGGGCGGCCATGGGGAGGAGCGCCCTCTGGCCAGCTACTGCCCCCGGGGGCCTGGTGGGGGTGGTGCCTGGGAGCCCCCCCAGCGCCCTCTCCCTCTCCCCAGGACTCGCTCTACTCGTTCGCCCTGAAATGCCTCATCAGCCTGTCCACCGCCATCCTGCTGGGCCTCGTGGTCCTCTACCACGCCCGGGAGATCCAGGTCAGTGCCTCCCGGGGCAGGGCGGGGCTCCTCCCCCTGGGCCCCAGAGTCCCCCGGTCAGCCCAGCTGGGACCCCCGCTCCCCAGGACACACAGGACAAATAGAAACCAAAGTTCTCGGTGAAGAGTCACCACGCCGTCACCACCTCCCTGCAAGGCCTCTGCCTGTTAACTTCCATGGCTCCTCTCCAAACGGGAACGGTGGAGAGGTGAAGGAGGGCGCAGCCAGGGGTCTGGGACACAGTGAGCTTCATGGCCCTGGTGGCTTCCTGGTGGCTTCGCAGCCCTGGAAGCAGGCTCTGTTTCCACTGGGAGGCACCCGATGTCCTTCCCAATAGGAAGAGTCGCTGGGCCTGGGCCTGGGCCTGGCCTCCTGCTCTGGAGCTCAGCCAGCTCAGGCCCTGGGAGATCCCGGTGGGCAGCACCGGCCTGGGCTCCTGCCCTGGCCGCAGACCCCTGAGCTCCAGGGGCCTCAGGCTGGCAGAACGTGCGAGTGGGAAATCTCCATCTGTGCCATGTGCACGTGTCTCTGGGGGCTGGCTGTTGGGGACAGGTGTCTGGCAGTTCCTCCAATACAGCCAGCCCTGGGGATCCCTGCGGGATTGGTGCCAGGACCCCCACAGATACCTAAACCCCAGGACGCTCAAGTTCCTGCAGACGACCTCCTTGGGACTCTAAATCATCTCTAGGTGGCCGAGAACACCTAACACAGCATAAACGTGCATGCGGTGTGTTGTTTAGGGAATCGTGACAAGAAAAAGAGTACAGATGGGATTTTTTTTTCAAAATATTTTCAGTCCGTGGGTGGCTGACTGTGTGATATGGAACTCAGGTGTGGAGGGCGGATTCTAGCTAACCAGGAGGTTACCCTGGCCCCTAACAACCCCTCCTAGCTAGGTTCACCCCCACAAGAGAAACAAAAATCAACATCCACACAGACGTTTATAAGACCATCTTTTACAACAGGCAGAAGGTAGAAACCATTCATTTCCCTTAATGAAATCCCAGTGGCTCAGGAGGCCGAGGCAGGAGGATCAGGAGTTCAAAGTCAGCCTCAGCAACCTAGCGAGGCCCTAAGCAACTCAGTGAGACCCTAAGCAACTCAGTGAGACCCTGTCTCTAAATAAATAAAATACAAAATAGGGCTGGGGGTGTGGCTCAGTGGCGGAGCACTCCTCAGTTCAATCCCTGGTACCACTCCCCACACTCACACCCCCGCCACACACACCAAGGTCCCTCAGTGAACGGATGGATAACCAAAATAAAACATAGAGCCTTTGTTCAATAGAAAGGGGGCACCTCTGTGTTGATGAGCCAGGGCCTGGTGCAGAGACCCACATGGAGTGCCCTCAGCACAGATGCACCCTCTGCTGGTCCTGGAGGCTGAAGGTTCAAGACCAAGGCCTCAGCAGGGCTGGCTCCTCCTTAGGTCTGTGGGGGCTGCTCCAGCCTCCTTCCTGGCTTCTGGTGCCCCGCAGTCTTGGTACTCTTGGCTTGGGGATGCGTCACTGGTCTCGAAGCTCACAGGCCGTTTTCTCTGTGTGCATCTGTGTCTAAGCGCCCCCTCCCTCTCCGCAGTACTGGGAATCCAACCCAGGGCCTAGCGCTCTACCACTGAGCCACACCCCCAGTCTCCAATTTCCCCTCTTTCTAAGGTCATCAGTCAGTCTGTCTGTCTTTCTGTCTTTCTTGTGTTGTGGATGGAACCCAGGGCTCCACACGTGCCAGGGAAGCACTCTTCCACTGAGCCACACCCCTGACTTGCTCCTGTTTGATTGTATTTATTTAATTTTATTACTATTATTTTTGGCACTGTTGGGAATTGAATCCAGTGTCTTGTGTGTGCTAGGCATGTAGTCTACCGTTCAGCCCCAGCCCCAGCCCTGTTAATATTTTTATTTTGAGACAGGGTCTTGCTGAGTTGCTGAGGCTGGTCTCAAACTTGTGATCCTCCTGCCTCAGCCTCTCCAGTAGCTAGGATTGTAGGTGTGCACCACTGCATCCCACTAGATATTTTTTACTGAGGTAAAATTCATATAATATGACTGTAACCATTCTAAAGGGGAACAATTCAGTGGCATTTGCAATGTTATGTAAATGTTACTTCTATCTAGTTCTAGAACATTTCCAAAATCCCAGAAGGAGACCCCATCCCCATCAGCAGTCACCCCCTCCCTGGCCCTGGGCAGCCATGCTCTCTGTCTCTGGATCCGCCCCCTCTGGATGTTTCATATAAATCGAACCACACAATATTAATAAGTTGATCAAAATCTGCGTGAGTTCGCTGCGGCTGCTATAGGTAAAATACCAGAAGCCAAACGGCCAGAAGCCAAACGGCCTAAACTTCAGAGATGTGTCTTCTCGAAGTTCTGGAGGCCACAAGTTCAAGATCAAGGGACCAGCAGGGGGTGGGTCCCTGGGACTGCTCTTCTTGCCTTATAAGTGGCCGTTCGGTCGCCATGTCCTCGTGTGGTTTCTCATGTGTTGACTGTCATCCCTGGTCTCCTCCTCTCCTGTCCACACACTGGTCTTGTTAGCGTAGGTCTTTGTGTGTTTTTTTTTTTTTT